GCATTCCTGGGCCTTCTCATCTCCATAGGCTTCCTTGCAAGTCCAAAAGGCTTCCCTCAAGTTCCCATTGAGCTCTCAGGGCTTTCTGGGCATAGTTTTTGCCTCAAAACTCATTTTTTCCTAGCCTCTAGGCCCTCCTCCAGCCCCAGTATACATTCTCACATATGCAACACCCCCTACATTCTCTTCAAATAGTTTTTCACAGTCTACCATTTAGCTGGGCCTGGAAGGTTGCTAACATATCTGAGGCCTCCCTCCAAGCCTTTGCCCCCTTTCTTACCTGGTTGTCTTTAGCGATAAAGGGCATCTTGTCTCCTTATCTGGGGTCACAATAGTTTCCTTCTGGGTTGGCTCCTCCTTCTTTAGGTTCTCCCTCATTGGCCCCAATTATGTAACTCCCCCTTGAGGTCCTTTCAACTGTATGCCATTTATCCTATTCAGTATTCCCCAATTCTCATCTCAGTCAAATAACTTCTGCTGACAACCACAGAGGTGGACTTTGTTTCTCTTTGTTTCTCTTTGGTACTTAGCGGCTTTCCCCCCAGGGTTGCTCTTCTGATATTGATTTGCCTTTTCTGAAGTCTCACCTGGTGTTTGCCCTGCAATTTCCACCTTTGAATTCCAATCTTAGGCTCATTTTTCTATTGCGGTTTTGGCTGCTATCTCCATTTTTGAGCATCTGGGGTTGGCCCACCATTGCGCTCCAGTCTCTTGGTGTTTGGTATTTCATTTTATGGATGCAGTCTTGGCAAAACAGGTTACAGCTTCTGCTTCTTAATCCTAGTTTGTTCTCTTCACTGCTTAGCTGTGGTCCTTTCCCAACTCCACTTCTAATTGCTGTCACTGTCAATATCTGAGCTTCATGCCGGCTGGTGAGCTCTCCTAGTTTTTCTCTGTCCACCTATTTCTTTCTTGTGCCTTGTTGCCAGCTCATCCCACTTCTGGTCTAGGCACTTGATCATTACTAGTAGGACCTGTTTCCACGTGGACATGAGTTCTAGGTGTATTGCCTCGGTATTCTTCCCCAGCTGAACCATCTCGGTCTCATCTCCTGTGGTCTCTTGGTCCAAGCGTACAGGTGGTTACTCACACTCTTGGGTCATCTGTGCTTCCTCGTTGCAGCCTGTAACTGTCTCTCTGACTTAGCTAAAGATGTTTTCAAAACTTCTAGCTCCTGGAGGTGATCCTGGTGCTCCACTGTGGCTGCTGCTAAGTGTTCAGTCAGCTGGGGCATTTATGGATGTGCTCTGGGAGGAGGGGGGGCACTTGAATTAGGGCAGTTCCAGGAGCCACTGATTAAAGCACCCAGAACATCACATGTATCAGAGTCTTTGCATTGAAAAATGGCAGTGGGGGCACTTTAACTAAAGCTCGTCTAATGAGCTTTAGTTAAAGCACCCCCCCACCACCATTTTTCAGTGTAGGGATGCTGATATACGTGATGCTGGTGTCTGCTTGATTTGATTATCGAGACTTGATCAATTAAGTCTGCTCCAAAATTCTGTAATTACAGTGCGTTGGAGCAGCCTCCCTGCATGTGTACACGTGCCTCTGGTTTCCAGCGAAACCGTCTTTGCCTGCAACTGGTCTGTCTCCTGTAACTTTCGTCTTGGAGCTTCTGTGGTCTCTCCCAGTGAGTGCACCTGGTTTTGGACCTTTTGAAGTTCCTCTTCTGTTCCAGTGAGTGTGGTTCAGTATGCTTCACATTGTGCCTGTAACACTTCCCTCTCATGAAACTCATCATTCCCTGCAGTTGATGGATCCCTTGTTTTCTTTAGTTGACTAATTTCCCTCTCTAATAACAAGACCTGATCTGTTTTGTCTTGCATGAGAGACTGAAGTTGGTTCATCTTCACACATTTAGCTGCCTTTCTTGCCTCGCCTTGCTTCCAGAAGCGTGTCTAGGGACTGCGTCTTCTCCCTGAGCTGTTTTCAGCCTCTGTGGTTTGCAGTTGGGCTTTCAACACATCACACCCTTCTGCCCTATGTTTTACCTCTACTTCCAGGACAGTCATCTTGTCCTGAAGCTTGTCAAGCTCTTGTTGCCACCTGCTTGCCTTCTCTATTTCTGCTGCTATCGTCTTTGCCATCTCTGCTGCCTGGGTCTGGGATGTAGCCAACTCCCACCATAGTATTTGCACCTCTCCTTCAAGCTGGAAGCACTTTCATTGCCAGTTCTCCAGCTGCCCCTGTAATGTGTCAGCTCAGTCTTCTTGATACTTCAGTTGCTTCCCCCAGGCCTCTGTGACATGTTTTTGAACTTCTATGTGTTGGGCAAAGTTCAGCGTTTTGACTATCTGTTTTGTGCAAACTTCTGCCAATCTTAAGGTCAGGTCATCCACTTTTCCTGCAGTGCATTCAATATCCTTTCATGCTCTCAGCTCTTTTCTGCCTCAGCTCTGATTAGCTTCTTGAATGCCCTAGTCCTTTCAGTCTCAATTGCAATCAAGCATCTAGCATCTTTTGACCCCCACTTTCTTTTTCCTGGTTTGCAAGTGTTTTTGGGTTTGCAAGTGTTTTGAGACTTTTGGGTTTTTTAGCTTAACTCAAGGGTCTTTCCTCATGCATAGCTTGCTTCCTTGTCAATGCACCACTGTAGAAGGCTCATGGCCACAAGGGCAGCCATGACACCCCCTGATGGCCATGCAGCCTCTGTCTGGCTCAGGCTAAACTGTAGCCCTCCCTTGATCACTTTCCTGCCATGCCTTGTTCTTACTGAAGGTTGTGTAAGAGAGGCTGTCCATGGTCCTGAGTGAGCCTGGGCCTGTGTCAGTCACTGCTGGGCCCCTCCTGGGTCCCTGTCATAGTCCTGCCTCCAGGTTAGTAGGCTATGTTGGCCTGTCCTTACCTCCCCAACTTCATAAAGCTTGTGACTATGCCCATTGAAGTCAATGGAACTGCTTGATAATGATAAAATTTAGCATATAATTACATACTTTGATTCAGGACCATAGTAGTTCCCTTAAAGGGGCTGACATTTTTTTTCATGGAGCATGCCCAAAAGCTTGCTAAGAACTTTTTTCCTGCTACTCAGTTGGTCTAATAAAATAGATCACATCTACCCAAAGAACCTTGTCTGCCTATGTCCTTAGACCAATATAGCTACAACCAAAAACCCATCTTGCATTAAGATTTAAACCCTGCAAACCCTTGGCTCTCCTCTGAACCCTACTGAATGCCTTATTCCTGTGAGTAAATGTTAGCAGGACATGGACCTGACAATATAACTATCTGCTTGGTAGTTCAGGGCCTTCAATAAAATGATTCATATTGAAATAGTTAGGAACAGCATTTAAAAAAAAAGCTGGCTCTCAGGTACACCCTGTTTATAGCAATTGCATCAATTCAATGCTTCCATTCAGATCTTTTGGTAAAACAGCATCACTGTTGAAATTTAACATGTTCTCATTATAATAACCTCAATTGTCTGTCACTCCTCGCTCTTTCCAGACCAATAAATCTTATCAGTGCTGCTGAGCCATGATTAGCATCATTTCATGTTACAGGTTCCAGCTTGTAGCGATCCTCAGACTTTTGCCCTTCATCAGACTTTGAGCAGCAACCTGTAACATTCGAGTAAAGCTAATCAAGGCTCAGCTGCCTGACTGAAATTTATCAGTCTGGAAAGAGTAGAGTCTCTCTTAAGAGGATGTGACAGATGATGGAGGTTTGTACAATGAGAAGCATGTTAGATTTCAACCCTGATGATTCTTTACCAAAAGACCTGAATGACAGCAATGAATTTACATTGTTGGTGCAATTGCAATGCAGTTTTAGCATAATTTACAACAAACCTTCTCTTCAAAATAACATTAAAAATACTTTAAAACAATCATTGTCCTAATGCCATCATTTTACTGATCAGGGACATGTACTTTTTACTGGAAAAAGTGTAAAAATCAGTTAGTTGGAAAGAAATCAGTGTGCAAGTTCTTTGTACATATAAGGGCCTGATCCTATAATACATGTAAGTAAAAGTTAGGAGGATCAGAAAGTTTTCAAAAACCTTAATATGGATATGCAAAAACAGATATCCAACAGACTGATCTGGTTTTATAAATAGTGTGTAGTCAGTGGTTGGATGCTTTCCCAAACTTATTTTTAATTTGCTTTTTGCATTTTGTTATGCTCACGTGGAATCTTTTTTTAACTTTCGTGGGACCTTGGTAGGATACAGAGCTGCACTCCATAAGCTGCAGCAAAAGATCAAGACCTATTACCTTTCTCTGATAAATAATATTGGGTTGTACAGTAAACAAATATACTTTGATTAAGTATCCTTTAAATCATGGTCAGTGACATACATTAACAGTATGAAAAACCTTCTGTAAATGATCAGCCATATATGATAAAGTAAGTGTTTTGGGGTAGAGGGTAGTTATTTTGGTATTTGTATTTTAAGCCCAGAGGTGGCTTTGAGCAGAAATGGGCAAGTTCTGATATTTCCTTGTAGTTAGCCAGTAGGCCATGTTTTTGTCATAAATGGTGAACTGCGGTGAGCTGCTTACTGCTTCATGAGTTCCAGCACAGACCCTGGATGGTTGTTTGTGTGCTGTGAAACAGTCTATGATCCATGAGACCAGGACAACCAACATCTGCTCTGGAGAGGGTGATGTGTATGTACTTTGGTTCTGCATGTTAACCAGCAAGAACTTTTTCACCTTTCTAACCCCCCTGAGTGGCTGGGTGGCCTGACTGGCGTTGTATTTTCTCACTTCCTCTTGTGGCCTCCTCCCCACACTGCCTTTTTGGAAGAAGGCACATGGACTATTATAGATACCAAGAAATATTTGGAAGCTATTCCATTTTTATTGGACAAACAATTCTGAAATTGAAGCTGCTTTTGGTGATGCTTCAGGCAGCAAGAATGTATCTGGGACCAAACCCTGTATCCTTGAAGAAAGATGTATGGAAACAAGAGGGAAGAAGCTTCTAGCTTCTTTGTGAGATGTGCAGAAGATCTGCCACTCTCATTGAAATCAGTGGGCACCTATACCTGAGTGTGGCGGCTGCTCCAACACGCTGGAATTCCAGCACGTCGGAGCAGACTCGATTAATTGAGTCTCTGGAGAGTGGCATTTCCTGCACTCCAGCAGTCTCCTGCATCTCGTGTATCAGCATCCCTGCCCTTAAAAATGGTGGTGGGGATGCTTGAACTCAAGCTCATTAAACAAGCTTTAGTTCAAGCTCCCTGTCACCATTTTTAAGCACGGAGATGCTGATACAGGAGATGCAGCAGTGCTGTAATTAAAGCGGCTCTTGGACCTGCTCTAATTGAAGCACTGCATCCTCCACTCCCTCCCAAGCATGTGTAAAAGTGCCCAGTGGGAGTTGGAGGATCAGGCTATGTATCCCTGCTTTCAAAGAAGGATATGAACAGCTCTGTCTTACTCTCTGTCCACCTTCCTGCTGTTTCACCAGTCTATTTTTATACAGGTCAGTGATCCTCATTGAAGAAGCCCCAGCAGAACTGTGTAAGAAAGTGGGGTAGATACAAAACGCCTCTGTCTTCCCTCTCACTGTACCACTTCTATTAGTGTTTCATTTGTGGACACAGCCTGGCCATGCTTGCATTTCTGCTGGACATGGTGGCAGGGAGAGGAAAGACCGTTAAGAGGAATCGGGAGAGAGGATTGAGGCCTGGGCTGCATCTGAGGCTGCTGGGTGAGCACAGAAGGGAAGGATAGACACCTGCTGTTCGGAAGAAATTCAGCGTATGAATGGGTGTTCTTTTGAAGTGAGAGGAGAGTTGGGAATGGATGACTCCAAGTAAAAACAAGGTCAGGCAGATAGTAAAGGAACTTCTCTCTCAGACTCAGACATGTGGATTCAGTCCACATTCCTGCAGCCCTCTTAGGCTCAGCAGCTTCTCCAAGTATGGTAGAAAGCTCTGTTAATCTTGCCATGCTTGAGCATCAGCCACTCTAGGTGGGCTGTTTGAAGAACTTGTACTGCCTTGCACAGCCATGACAGTGAGACTCAGATAATAGGATTCAGGCAGTACATCCCTCTTTCTAAAAAGTCACGGCCAGTTTTGTACATCCACAATAACACTCTCCAGCCCTCAGCCAGGAAGTAACAACAAGCTGCCACTGAAGGAGGTGAGTGGGAAAGATTTCCACATGTTGTTCAGGCATTCTGGTGCTGTTGTGTGGCAACATCTGTGAAACCTTAGCTTGTAAAATATTGGCTTCTGGTTTGATCTTTTTTAGTAACTCCCTGTGAGTGAATTCTCCATCACCATTTGGTTTCCTTCTTTCAGGATATTGAGAAGTGGGATCTAGACAAGATTCTCAAGAACCTGGAACATCAGGATGATGGAACTCACTCAGAAGAACCTGCTTTCCCTTCAGTGGATCACAGTAACTTCACAATACATGTTAACCTTGCTGAAAATGTGTACAGATCAGTTCAGAATAGAGACTGCAAAACCCCTCAGTCCCTCAGATCCAACCGCTGCTCTTCTTTATATTGCTCCCTTTAATCTCTTCTTCACTGTCTGCAATGATGGCACCTTGACCATTTCCTTTGGATTTTGGTTCCAATGCTTAATTTCTCTTAACTTCAAGAATTTTCCTTACTGATTCTAGCCTAAACTTTCCTTTACCTTTAGGCCACTGCTGTTTAGCATGTCAAGGCAGAACGTGTCTTTCAGTATATAAACTGTGTTGATGCCTCTGCTGATTTGTGCCCCATCCAAATGGGCCTGTGTTGCTGAGAAGTTAAAATCAGATTCCTTCAGGCAAGGAGGGACCACCCCTTGGAAGGGACTAGTGTTTCACCCAGTTTTTTACAGGCTGGAAAACAGGTCATCATACCTACTGCCATCTTAGAACCTGATCCAGTTTCCACTTGTCAGTTGTAACAGGCTTCTAAGTCCCTAGGATCTGGCTGATTGTTTCAGGTTAATCTAAGCTCTATGACTGTGATTGGGGAATAGTGGTAGGGTTTAAGATAATCCAGTGGTTCCCAGTCTGGGTGCCACAACACCCTAGGCTGCCTTGAGAATGTTTCAGGGGTGCTATGTAGTGTTAGCACTGTTCGATGTGCAGACATGATTCACAAGATAAACCAAGAGGTTTCACATAGGAATCCATAGTGTCAAAACCATCCTGACCTGTTGTGGTCTTTCTGAGTTCTTTACAACACAAAAGTTACTCTATTTTCTTTCTGTAGTAAAAAATTGAGTGAAAGCTAAGAGCTGACTCTGAAGGGGTCCTGGAGTCTATTAGGAGGTGCCTTAAGTTTAAATAGGTTGAGAACTATTGGACTAGTGGATCTACATGGGAAATGGATAAATAGAATTAATCAATGAGAGACATGTCAACTCTGAAAATAAGTGTAAATCAGAGAGTTTGCCAGCTACACTGCAGTCACAATAGAAGAGGTTTCTAAAATATTCAGAGAAAAATTGTTGCATGTAGTTTTGCAATGATCATCATCCCCTTCTTTGTGACTATTCATTCTTATGTCTGTGTAACGCATCCAGCACTAGAGCAGGAAAATCACCCCTCCTGACCGCTGCCTTGTCTCCATCTTGTTGTCCCCTTTGGCTGTTCAGGGTTCCACTCTTCTCTCTGCTGCCATGCCTTGATGTTATTGTTAGAGGCACCCTGGCCTAGGCCCACTTTACTCTGGCTGGGTCCCTCTGCCTGATGTCTACTGTACCAGGACCCTAGGCTCCCAGGGCTTCAGCTTCAGTCCTTGTGTGCTCTAGGCCCCTTGGCCCTGATCTTGCCCCTTGCTTTCTGGCACCACAGTCCTTCAACTAAAAGGAGAAATCCCCTCCTTCACCATCTAGGATCTGGGGTGCCCTTGGCACCTTTCTTAGTGGCTTCCTCTGCCCCTACAGCTACAAGCTGGCCCTCCAGGATAAAAAAAATGAGCATCTGCTCCCAAATAAAAAGTCCCACATCCTTGGGTTAACACTCACACCGTGGCAGCACTATGACATAGACTCAAAAACACTTTTATTTATTGTTGCCTGGTGGCATAGAGGCTTTCTTCCAGCTCTCTTGCTGTCTTGAGTCCTTCTTCCATGGGTAGCTTGGCCTTTCTCCCTTGAGCTCTGCTTGCTGCAGCCAGTAAGACCAGACTACCTACTCTCATTCAGGCTTGTATCCCTCTTTGGGTCACCTGAGCCACAATTTCTACCCCAGGCTTGTCAAACCTGGGGTGAGTGGCCATTTTATTCCAGAGCCCTCTGCCACTGTCAGTCTGTCTTGGAGGCTGGAGCTGGCCTGCTGATTCTTTGCTCCCGCTCCCTTTCAGTTATGTGGTAGGGGCCCCATTATAGCCTGACATCTCTTTCTTTTCATTCAAACACCCCATACCAATTTTGAACCAACAGGAAAATTACTAGGAGGTAAAAGACTGTTTTTCCTGATGCCAGGACCAAATTGTTAACTATCACAAAAGAGAGACATCAGGTCAAGTCCTTAGTTGGGGTAAATCAGCAAAACTCTATCAATGTTAATGTATTTGGATCTGTCCCATTTTCTCTAGAGGCATCTATTGTAGTAAGTCCTGGATCTGGGTTTCCAGCATGTGATTTAGCATACTGTCATAAGGTTTTGGAGGAAGATGCACCTTTTGCAAAAGCAAAGTGATATGTTCTGCTCCTACCAAGGGGTTAGAGCAGTCTCTGCTGCTTCTGCACAGCAGCATCTTTTTCACCTCTCATGCTATTTCTGTTACTTGAACTTTCTCTATTTTGTTGAGAGTTCTAACCAGGGTGTCTCCTCTAGATAGATTAGTTTCTTTCTTTTTAATGAATAAATTAGAACTGCTCTTCATGTAATTCAAGTTAGGTCTTCCTCAGTTCTCTCTAGCACGGCCTCTGGGATCTGGGTAATTGTTTCCAATTCATCCTATCCTTAACCATTCAGTGTGTCTTTACCAAGCTAGTACTTGTAAAATGGGTTAATGAATTTCTGGTAGCTGGTAGCGTGGTCCAGGAAACATGTTGCTGTAATACAGAGAAATTTCCATGACTTTTTTCCCAATTTTCTATGGTAAATTTAAGCCTGTCATCCTATAATTTCTCAGCAGTCCTTGCCTAGCTGAGAGAGACACCTGGGGCTAAATTCTGTTTTACCTTCACATGCCGAAGTGACACTTACATAAATGTGTAACAGCAATTTTTGGCACTTGCGTGCTGCTTAGATTACACATAGCTGTGCTTTCCCTGAATTTCTATATTGGGCAAGCTCAGTAGGTTGCATTCTGGGTTAAAGAGTGTTCTGGCAATGCCTAGCCCATAGTCTGATGGCTAGAACCTTCTATGGGGAAAAAAATGCAGCTTCAAACCACTTCTGGTTAAGGTGGGACATGGGGGCTAGAGTCTGTCTCCTGTTCTCTGTGCAGATACCCTAGCCACTAGACTAATGGGCCAAGAGGTAAGAGGGTACTTTTCCTCCACCATTTGTCTATTGGCAAGTGCACACGCAGGCTGTTTCAGTTCTTTACAGATAGAAGTAAAATCCAAACTGTGTCCAACTGTCAAAAATGGCCATTTCACAGCTCTGTACATGCTACATAGGTGTGTGAAATGAAATAGGATTTAGCCCATAATGCCCAGTGAAAGAAAATGAGAGTTGGACACCTAACTTTCCAAATGGTTTTGTAAATCCAAGTAGGAACTTGTCTGCCCCTTTAGCCATCTAAATTATGTTGCAAAACATAATTTAGCCTAAGGTCTGCCAATGACCCATAGCCATCATTTATCATTTTAGAAAAATTCTTATAATGAGTTCATGTCCTAGCAAAGGTCCTTCTTGCTGTAAGAAAGGAAATTGTTTTCTCTGATATCTTTTTGAGGAGGGGGAGGAGGAGGAAAAGGTATTTGGTCCAAGTAACCATATTAAAATCTGGGGAAAGGATACTTATGTGGATATTTTAACCCTAGATTTTCTATTAAAATTGTCCACAAACTGAGGCCTGTTGATTCACTCAGAGGTAGTACGCATCTGTTTTAAGGGCTCTTGAGCTATCAAAGGAATAAGCAGAAGTGCAGGGTTAAATATTTGGGAGACCAGCTTTGAGTTTTCTCCCACTCTGGGCCTCTCATCTTAAAGCTCTCCTCATAGATTAGACTTTGAATTGTACTTCTTATTGTCTTGTCAGAGTATGGTTCAGGCCAGTCCAGTTTCTTACATTGCTTTTCAGTCTGAGTCTTGGATTCTCACTTTCTGTCCTTCACCATTAATCTATATCTGAAGAGGGGAATCACAGTGCAACATCATTCTTTAAAACTAGGGATTGAAACTTCAATTTGAAGTCTCTGCATCAAATTTATTATTTACATCCCTTAGAATAGCTAATGTTCTTCTGAGGTTGCTAACATATATCATGTTAATTCCAGTAGGATCTAATTAACTAATGGCAACAAAACTAGCCCAATTCCATCTACCACCAGGTCAGAAGATTGCTCTTACATCATGGCAATGTGTACAGCCATAGCCTCTAGTTTTGATTATTGCAGCTAATTATTATAGACAGAGCTGGCAGCTCGGCCCGAAGTTAGGGTTGTCTGACAGTTCCTGGTATAAAATTGTGTTTTCAGTTGTTTATAACATTGCCAGACTTTTCTCATTTAAGCTGTGTGTTATGTCCTTTTGGAAAGTTTGGGTCAAGAAAAGAAAAGAAAGCCATTTCTAAGAATAAAATTGAGAAAAAACATGTTTTGCTCCCTATAGTAGGGGGCTTGGTGCTGCTGCTAATTTAAGAGCAGGTAAGCTGCTGATGAAGCAGGTGGCAGGTGTAGCAGAAGGCAATCAGGAGCCACATGACCAAGAAGGGGGCTGGCCTTGCAGTATATAAGCTCAGAACCCAAGCTGGGCAGGTAGTCTGACCTGCGGAGCCACGGAGAGAAAAAGCTTCTGAACAAAGGGCTGCATGAAGGCTCCTCACTAACACCTAAGCTGGGGTAAGCAAAACTGGTGGTTTAGAGATTGAAACATTAGGGGTAATAGAGGTCTCAACTAGCATGGGGGCAGGGCCAGGGCCTGAGAGAAAGGGGCCAAGGTCCAGGAGCAGGGTGAGACCTGGGGCCAGGGACCCATAGCCCGTGAGGGGTGAGAACAAATGGGGCCAAGGAGCCCAGTGGTCTCAACTGGCCTAGGAGTGGGGCCAGGACCCAAGGATAGGGGTCAAAGCCTGAGGAGGGCCACAGCCGGAGACTGACAGGGCCAGGGATCCAGCATCTCTGAGAGGTAGAAACCGGGTCAGAGACCCAGGGCCTGGGAGCAGCCAAGATAGGCAAAGTTCCCAGGTGTGGGTGGGAGGAGACAGAGACCTGAGCCCAGGTCTGGCATAGGATGCAGGCCTGGACTAATGAGTGATTGGTAAGATCTGAGGCTTGGGCATGGCTATAAGGGAAGACAAGAAGGCTACATAATTAGGCCGTAAGGTGATGAACAGTGACATCATCTGTGTTGAAGAGATTGAGATCTCACTTGGGAAAGCCTGGGGCAGCCTCCTCTTTCTTAAAGTGATACATCAATATGTGGCAGGTGAGTGGAAGGGGAAATTGCCCAAAGAGAGCAAAGCTGACAAGGTCTGAGGGGGCTCCAGGGCCTTTGCGGCCATCCCTGGGGAAGACCCTATTATACCCCTCAAAACTCCTTACAACTGTTTTGCTTGAGTGTTATCAGACTTTGGAACTAAGACTTGAAGATTGGCATTAGGGTCATTCTGGTTATAAGGGATCTACCTTTTAATGTTCCAATGAAAAGTTGTCTCCATTTGGCTAAAATGGAAGAAGTACTTAGGTGCCTGAGGAGGCTTGTGAAAAATATCAGTGTGCACATGCTCAGTAATGGTAGTAACTAGAGTTGAGTGACTGGGGGGCACAAGCCCCGGGCACCAATTTTGCGAGGGTGCAAGAACAGCTGCTGCTGCTGCTGCCCAGGGCACAAACTGCTTGTTTTGCCTCTGCTCAATAGAGTTCATCAGCTAAATTCTTTAAGTCTCTGTACTGAGCATACTGCATTATCCCATCCCAGCTCCTTCACATATGTGCCATCTCCACAGAGCAACTAAGCATGCTCCAGGAGTTTTCCTGCTATTGCTGAATGAAGCTAGCATCCTGTGGTAAAAATAGTATATGCTTATCTAATTAAATATTGTTTCATAATGCAATATGTACATGGGATCTGAACTAAGGTTGCAGAGGCGGTCTGACTTTGGGCACTGTCTGACTTTTAAGTGCTTAACTTTGTTATAACAATAGCTTCTTTTTAAAACAATTTATATAGAAAATCTTCTCAATTTGAAGCATGATGCAAATTACTTTTCTTTTTCCACCCCTCTCTGAAATAACCATGATAAGGAGTTGCAAGTAAATACTGTCAGTTCTTCACTTCCTATCTTCCCTTTCTTCTTCCTGTCTTCCTTCTGTTTCTTCATCTAAGTCTTCCCCTCATTCTGCCCTTCCCACTGCAAGCCATAGTCCAGATTACAAGGAAGCATACATGGATTTAAGGATATGTTACTACCCCACTACAGCTATCCTGAGACTGCTGCCAGGACACAAGCTCTGCCCACTCACTCCACATATCCTGCTTGCTAAAAAACACTGAGTCCAGGGATACACTTTTTAGCATATGTCCAGGGATATTCTCAGGATCTCTATTTTGGGCAAGCTTCTGGGAGATGCTGGTACACCCAGCAGTGCTGTAATAGTGACCAGACAAAATGGCTCTTAAGCACACACCAAGCAGAAATAAATTTGGACATAGTTCTTTAATCTGATCTAAGGGACTCTGGGGGATTGAAACTGATGCTCTGAAGTGCCACAAGAAGATGGAAGCTATACCAGTTTATATTCCCTGGATTCCCCTCTTACCAGTAGTATAACTAAGGGGAGGGAGGAGCAGGACACCAGCCTGAGGCAGTGAGCTGGGCAGGGTCACAACAGCAACTGTCATTGCCAGCCTGACACTGATAGGAGCAGCTGCAACCCAGCCACTGCCCCACGTGCCACTACCATCCAAGGCACAGGACTGACATGCCTTTTAGTTTAGTTCTGTTTGTCTGTCTGGCCTGTCATAGTACATCTGCACTCCAGAGGCCCAGCTTCCGCAGAGTGCTTAAGAAGAGCTGGGGCAGTCAACAGCAGAGAAAGGATGGACCATTAGAGCTCCATTAATTTTTCGTTAAGAAAAGAAGAATGTTAAATTGTTGACCTGGTTTTGAATTGAAGCCAGACTTTGATTGCCAGGTTAGGATAACCTTCATATTATTCCTGTTTCTGTAACTTGCTGCAGGCAAAGTAATAAGACAAGAAAGGGAAAGTTGGACTACTTCCTTACAACAACAAGACCATAGTAAGGGATTTTTTAATTTCTCTGTTCATCCATAGAGACTTGGATTGCTAGATCTGAAAGTAGGCTCATGGCAAAGCTAGAAGAGTTGTGTGCCAAGCAGTCCAAGGCATTGGCCCTACAGCACAGAAGGTCATCATCAGCCAAGAAGTAGGTCCTTTTCTCTAAGAGTTAGTTTTTGTATACATTGGGTGGTTGTGATCAGGAGCAAGAATGCCTAAGAATTAGTGGTTTCACTTGGGCATTTCTCCCTAGTCCGGTATTTAATATCATACTAGAGATGTGCCCAAGTAGGCTTTTATTTTATTTTTTTCTTAAAGGGATAAATTGCACATATTTATGGTGATGTTTATAGATTTTATTTATTTATTTTTTTAAATATAGATTCATAGGTGTTAGGGGCTGGAAGGGACCTGACAAGATCATCAGGTTCAGGCCCCCTGCACTAGGTCAGGAAGGACTGCTGGGGTCAGATGACCCCAGCAAGGTGGGTGTTGAGATGCTTTTTGAAGATCTCCAGGGTAGGTGATTGTACCACCTCTGGGGGGAGTCTGTTCCAAATCCTTGGTACTTTAATTGTAAAGAAGTTTTTTTTCCTTATGTCCAATCTGAAGCAACCTTCAGTCAGTTTGTGCCCATTGTTTCTTGTCTTCCCCTGGTGTGCCTGGGTGAACAGATGCTCCCCCAGGCCCTGATGCATATCCCTAATATACTTATAGGCTGCCACCAAGTCCCCTCTAAGTCTTATCTTCTCCAGGCTGTACAGTCCTATGTCTTTCCATCTCTCCTCGTATGACCTGGTCTCCAGACCTACTAATCATGCACGTGGCCCTCCTTTGGACTCTCTTGCGCTTCTCCACATCCTTCCTGATGTGTGGCACCCAGAACTGGAGGCAGTACTCCAGCTGCGGTCTCACCAAGGCCAAGCAGAGTAGGAGGGTGACATCCCTCGTCTTGCTTGAGATGCATTGGTAGATGCATATCAGTGTTTGATTTGCACTGCAGCTACAGTATCGCATTGGTGGCTCATGTTTGTTCTGTAGTCTATCATGACTCCCGTTTCTTTCAGTTGTGGTGCTGGCAAATGTAGCACTGTCGTCTGTAAGTGTGTTGCAGATTATTTCTCCCCAGATGAAGCACTTTACATTTCTCCATGTTAAACGTCACCAGGTTATGATCTGCCCATCTTGCAAACTTGTCCAGGTCAGCCTGTATCCCCAGCCTGTCCTTGAGCATGACCGTACTCCCCCATAATTTGATGTCATCTGCAAACTTTGCCAGTAGGCTTTTAATCCAAGTAATTGATGAACATGTTGAAAAGTACTGGTCTGAGTACTGAAGCCTGAGGGACGCCACTGGTCACCTTCCACCATGTTGACTTAGTTCCATCTGTTAATACTCTCTGGGTCCTACCTCAGAACCAGTAACAGACACCAGACCATAAAGTAGTCGAGGCTGCATTTTCCCAATTTTACCATGAGAACATCATGGCGGAGTGCTCCTCCCATGAGATATCAGGGTAGTTGAAGTTGCCCATGACAACCATACACTGAGAGCGTACAGCCTCTGCCAGTTCCCTAGAAAATGCAAGTTCAAGATCTTCCTCTTGTTTAGGAGTCTACTACAGACCTCCTATTGTTATATCATCTTTACTGTGTTTCCCCCTGTCATGGTGTGGGGTCCCCAGGGAAGGCTATGATGTCCCTAGGGCTCCGTGACCGTGCCAGTCTTGACCAACGGGCACCCTTTTCCTCTCCTGCCACATTTTGCTAGTAATTATAATAAATTGGAAGGCTGCCCTCGAGTTTACGTATGGACACGGTCCTGATGGACCCCGCTGAACCCTGTGGGTTCTTGGACCCCTTTTGGGTCCCACTCAAAATGAATGGCTCACAGGACACCCTCAGCCTTATGGGCTATATGTGTGGCTCCAAAACTACCCCTTTACCACACCCCAAGCCTCGCAGATGGCATTCAAACATTGTTTCTTTGAGGCCTTAGTTTAGCTCAGCTTCCTGTCATTGCTGGGCTCTGCTCACCCCCTTTGTCTCTGTGCCCCCTGGTGCTGGGCTCTGCTCACTGTAGTGGGTCCCAGCGAGGCCTCTTCCTCCCCCAATAGCCTCAGCCCGGTCCACTGGTCTATAAACAGCAACCAAAATGAGCCCCTGGGCTATAACATAATACAACTAGTTCAGGATGCGCTCTGTCGCTTTAAAAGAGTCAACCCCCCCAGCATTAAGTGCTTTGTAGGCCAGGGTACCTGGTGAGCTCCTGGAGCCCCATTATCCCTATATATAGCATATCAGGTGGCCACAGCATCTCTGGGCAATTCTTTTCTGCAGGCTCCTTCCCCTGGCTGCTGCCAGAGAACTAACCCCTGATGGCCTCAGCCCTGGGGTTTATATGTGCCCAGGGCCCTGCCTTCTTCCAGTCAGCTGAACGGGTGCAGGTGGAGGCTAATTTCCTTGTTAGCCTGCTGCCATAGTAACCTACACCTGTGGGGTTTCTGCCTGGCTCCTAGGCCCTCTCCCTAGGGAGTTTCTGCTCTTAAAGGAGCAGGCACTTTAGTACCCTGCAACACCCACATAATCTAACCCAGAGGGTCTCAAGTCACCCTTCTTGGGTGCCAAACTCCATTTTTAGGGAAGTTTACTGATCCTTCACATAAAGAGCTACACCCTCTCCCTTTCTAGCAACACGATCTCTCCTGTACCTGTGGTTCAGTCATAGGTGGAGTCTCACTAGGGCTCTGTTATTCCTATGAGATGGTATTGATTTTTTGTGTAGCAGAAGGGCCAGTTCCTCCTGCTTTTTTGAAGTCCAAGTATATGACATCAACCTCATTTCCCTTATCCAGGTGGTGAGTTACCTGATTGTAGAAGGAAATGAGGTTGGTCTGCCATGACCTGCCCACAACAGCCATGTTGGCTCTCCTGTAGCTACCTTCTGTTAGCCTATCAAAAATGGATTCTTGGATAATTTTTCCCAGGATTTTCCCAAGGATTGAGGGCAAATTGATTGGCCTGTAATTCCCTGGGTCCTCCTTTCTTGAAGATAGGCACCACACTGGCCCTTTTCCAGTCTTCTGGAACCTCTCTCGAGCACCATGAGTCCTCAGATAGCTTTGCCATAGGTTGCACGATGATGTTGGCCAGTTCTTTTAGCACACTCGGGTGTAGTTCATCCGGTCCTGCTGACTTGTAGCTATCCAGCCTCTTTAGGTGTTCCCACACAAGATCTCCGCCAACTATGGGAGAGTAATCACCTCCCTCATGATCATCTTGTATCCTGTCAAGCAGGCTAACACCCTTGGAATACTGACGCAAAGTATTTGTTTAGGAGTTTGGTTTCCTCCTGAGTGTCATTTATCAGTTGTCCCATTTCGTCCACCAGGGGCCCCATGTTTTGTTTTGTTTCTCCGACTTCCTACATATCTAAAGAAGGACTTTTTGTTGTCCTTGATTCTAATTGCCAATTTGAATTCGGTTTCTGCATTTGCTTTTCTAATCCGTTTCCTACAGGTGTGGGCTATTGCTGTCTACTCCTCTTTGGTGGTAATTTCTGACTTCCATCCCCTTATAAGCTTCTCTTTTCAATTTCAGGAGATCCATGACTTCCCTATTAAGCCAAAGTGGTCTTCCCACCCTTTTGCTGCCTTTCTTATGAAAAGGAGTGTATTTCCTTTGTGCTCCTAGGATCACTTCCTTGAGGAAAGACCATTCTTCTTGTACTCCCTTCTCCATTGGACCATGGTCCCCCAAGGCCTCGCCAACCAATCTCCTAAGCTTGTGAAAGTCAGCTTTCCTAAAATCAAGGATTTCTAGTCTACTGACTGATTCCACATCTTACGGTGGATGGAGAAAGTGATCATCTCATGGTCACTGTTGCCTAGTTTCCCTTCGATCCTCAGCTTGCTCTAGATTGTCTCCTTTGGTCAGAACCAAGTCCAGGACTGCCTCATCCCTGGTCAGCCCATAGACTTCTTGAGTCATAGCTCTTCAATGCAAGTGAGGAAGCTTTGTGAGCAATAAGATCTTGCTGAGTGCTCGTCCCATGAGATGTCTGGATAGTTGAAGTCGCCCATGATGACCATGCTCCGAGAGTGTGCAACCTCTGCCAGTTCTCTAGAGAACTCCTGGTCGAGCTTTTCCTCTTGGTTCAGAGGTCTGTAGTAAACCCCTTCATTCAAATCCCCTACTCCATGCTCTCCCTGTGTCTTGACCCAGGGGGTCTCAAGTCGCCCTTGTTTATTGCCAATTTCTGCTTCTAGGGAGGTGTACTGTGCCTTCATGTAGAGAGCAACTCCTCCACCCTTCTTCCTAACACAATCCCTTCTATGCAAGGTGTAGCCCTTTATACCTGTGGTCCAACCTGGTGGGACTCCACCTATGATTGAAAGGAAGAGGTAAACAGAGCCCACTAAAACAACACATTGCAGCAAGGGCCCCATAAAACACATGGGGCAGCACATTGCAGCAAGGGCCCCATAAAACAACACATTGCAGCAAGGGCTTGCAAAGTCAGTGGCGCTCAGAGTTACACAATTGGCATTGACATTGAATTTCAATGAGATTTAAGCATCTGACTCCCTGAGAACTCCTTGCAAATCCCAGTCCAAATGATCTAATCTATGCATTGGTGCCCAAACTACATTCATATTGGATGTAGCCCAATTCATACATATTGAAAAGAGCCAATTCAAGGCCCATTGAAACAGATTCCCTTAGACTAAAGAAGACTAGGAAGATGATCTAAGTGACTTGAACTTTGTTCAAACTGAAGGGTGAGATGTACCTGCCAGGGAAATCAGAGAGGAGGAATTTTACAGCAATTAAATTTGTCTGTCTTGGAGATTTGAAAACTTTTTGGGGTAGAAACTTTCTTTTATTGGGGTGTTCAACAATACCGCACATGTCAGCGCTTGAAGTGGGGTGGGGGGAGTCACTAACATTACAATAAGGAAACCTAAGTGATCAGAGGCTTGTTGTCATCCACCTGAGGATAAAAGTCAGAACATCATAATCAGTTCTCTAAGCAGACATGTATTGATATCTTCTCTGGAGGCTGACTATAAATATCACTTCTTGCCTAGTCTGGTCAGGGTGACATATATGACTGTCTAGAACTTTAACTGAACCAAGTTGTTGTTTGGGTCACAATATGGGAAAGTTGAAAATCTCTCTGACTTTTTTTTTTTTTTTTTTTAATTTCAAGCACTTTTAACTATTTGGAAATAGACAAATTGTAAATCAATTGCATTCAATCCTGTCTAGCCCAGATCTACATCAGTAATATGACAGCAGTGTGCTGTGAACATAGATCTGAACTTTTTATGCCAAGGGTAATCTGAATTTGGAAGATGCAAAATTTTAATCCTGGCATTTATATTATTTTATAATAGGCAAAGGCTGAGTCTGAACCTGTGCAGGAGCAAGGAGCACAGTATTCTTCTTGATCTTTATTTATTTATTTATTTATTTATTTATATCCTCTGGCCTGTTTAAACACACATGGCATTGAAACAATGATTTCTATTCTCAGAAAAATTGTCCGCATACAACCTCCACCAAGCTGTCAAAGTATGAAGATAGTGGAACTACAGTACCATGCAGAGCCCCAGACAGTATATATAGATTTAAGGGATGCTAAACCACAGAAATCTGAGTCGCCACCCAATGAAAAGATGAGGTAATTACTGGGGTCTGAAGTTATTTTAAAAAAGAGAGAGAGAGAAACAGAGCAGAAATCTGATTCTGTCCGTCTCCTGCCCTTTGGGGAATGTGCCTGTCTCACTGAATGTCCATGCCCTTCATACAGAAAGGGTGGCCCTCTAGTGGAGAGAGAGAGAGAGACTCTTTTAAAGGGAAAGTACCTGGCCAGAAATCCAGGTGGACAGCTAAGTGATTTCTAGTTATGGTTTCTGAATTTCCTATGAGTCTAAATGATGTTTGGACAGCAAGTTCTGGGAGCCTAGACTCTTCCCAAAGACAACAGGGAGTTCTGGCAATGGATCTCCTCACTCTGTGGGGGATGTATTTGCTTTCTTCCTGAGATGTAGCCTTGCTGAAAATGGTAGTCTGAAGAAAACTGGGTAGATAATAAAGGCCAGGGAGGTACTTTTAAATGCTGTTGTCTTACAACATGAGTTTAGCTGTATTTTAATAAAGAAGTCTTAATTTAACTTGTGGGGATAATAAATCTTCAGTAAGCTCAAATTTAGCTTAAATTAAACTGTTCAGGTAGAGATAGTTACAAAATAATTTATCCTGGGCCATGAAAGAATGTTAACATTTATTATTATTATTATAGCATTTCATACATAACATTTTAGTTACTTGGGTACATACTGTTGTGAAGATGACCTGAGGAGCTGACCTTAAACTTGAATGCCTAATTTAATTTAAGATGACCTAAGAAGCATTAATCCTTAATTTGGGGGGGTTTGCACTGTGCACCAGATTCTTAGCTTGTGTAAACCAGCATAACTCCAGTGGAATTGTGTTAGTTGATACCAGGTAAAGATCTGACCCCCAAAATCTTTTCTCTACCTTCTCCTTGGTTTAAATTTATATGCCAGAAGGGATGAATAAATGCCACAGATTGGCTTGTTGCTATTGTAACAATGAGAAGAGGTGTCCAATAATCATTTATTCCATTTGTTTCAAGCTCAAGTGAAAGCTCCACAGATGAGGAGGAAGATATGATGGCTGAGAAGCATCACATCGCTAAGGAAATAATACCAGATTCTTCCCTGGGATTACGGTACCAATTACTTGAAACATCACCTTTTTTGTGAAACTGAAATGTTCCAAATATGTTCTGACTAATATCTCACTCGTTAAAATAGCTTATGGCAGTGATCCCCAAAGCAAAATTGCGCAATTATAATCACTAAAACAAAACGTTTTGGTGTTGCTCCAGCAAATCAGTCTGTGTTCTTTCTGCTGAAGCCACAATGAAGATTCTGCAGTTACAGCATAACTGTTGATCCTTGAGTCAGGATACAGTTCCCCTTGCTGTTTCACAAGTCCATGAAATCCTTAGGGACATCAGAATAAGAGCTTGTTTTTGTCAGGTAAAGAAGCAGACATCTCAAGATGCATGTGTAGTAGACATGAGTAGCAGGAAAATGATATTTGTTTCTGGAGACACTGAGTGACATGACGGGATCCTTTTATATAAAAAAAAAAAAAAAAAAAAGTCAGAATCAAACATTTTAAAATAAGGGATATTCCCTCATTTAAGCCTTTTATTAGGGAAAAACATGATTAACAAGGCACTAGAAATGGCCAGTAATCTAAAGAGATTATTCATTGCATTGTATAGGAAGAGAAACTCACAAAACTTTTTCACTATTTAGTTACAATGCGTAGTCGGGGAATTTTTGAACTGTAAAGCCACAATAAAATATTAAAGAAACAAAGAAGCATAACAAAATATATCTCTCCAAATAGGTGTAACAGAAACCCTTCAGAGATGCCAAAGAGCAATGCAGTTTTATGTTCTTAGGGCATTTTTACATGTGCTCTGGGGGTGGGGTGGGGGAGTATTTTTAATTAGGCTCTGAGAGCCACTCTAATTGAAGCACCTGGAGCATCTCATGTATCAGCATCCCTGTACTTCAGAATGGCAGCAGGGGTGCTTTATCTAAAGCTCATTGAACAAGCTTTAACTAAAGCACCTCTGCCACCATTTTGAAGTATGGGGAGGCTGATGCATGACATGCAGAGGTTGGCTGGAGCACAGTAACTACCATGCTCCATCAGACTCAATTAATCAAGACTACCCCACACTGTAATTACAGCACATCAGAGTAGCCTCCCAGCTTGTGTACAGGCACCCTTAGGTGCTTTGTATAGAGGATGGTGAGTGGTACAACACTTTCAGGCCACAGCCTCTAACTTGGGGTCTGAGCTTTGCCAACACAACTGCTCATCCCAGCCTACCACCCTACAGCTAACTGTTTGGATTGATCCAGGCTGGCTTAAAGCCTCCATTTTAGCCTAAACCTCCACCTACTCCCTGTCACTGGTGTGGCCAGCTATGTTCAGCTGACTCCACTTCCCCTATATTATACCCCTGTGCAGGAACAGGAAGTGTCTGGGCAACAAGTCCCAACCTAACTCAAGACTGCTTTACAAGTCCTTTTGACTTGCTCCTTGACTCTGTTCTCTGCTTGATCTCCTGGCTTCTTGACTCGGCTTGCTTCTAGACCCCATTCTATGATTGACCTCCAGGGTTCCTGATGCAGTTTGTTGTCAGATTCTGCTCGCTCATACTGACTCTGGTTGCCATCTCAATCCCTGAGTGGCCCCAGACCAGGCCACGCACATCCTGGTGCAACACATTTCTCCAGAGGTTTATTCAGAAAGCTTGAAGATGCTTAGAGAAAGCCAATGTTAAAGCACAGGGGGATGTCTGAACTGTCACCCATCTTAGTGTTTCCCGTCACCCCTAGTCGCACTTCGATAATAGTGGCATACCGGGTTCCTGAAGTTAGGCAAATCATGACACATGCTTGTAATACCAACCTTTTTTCTGCTGACCTGGTGGTTAGAATATTTACTCAAGTCACAGGAGACTTGGGTTTTAGTGTCTGTTCAACCCAAGAGATTCTCTTATGTGTTCTCTTTCTGTCCCTATGACTTTTGTACTCTTGGCTGCCCAGTAAGCCAGCTTCAGCAGAAAGGGTGGAAAGTGTCTTCACCTAGGCTGTTTGTCCACTTTCCCGAGAAGGAGAAGTTGTAGATTCTACAAGTCATAGGGACAGAAAGAGAACACATAAGAGAATCTCTCTCCATAACCTAGTGTTTAGGAAACTCCACTGTAAAGGAGGAGCCTTTGGTTGTGGCCCCAACTTCCCAGCTCTATTCATGCATCTTACTTCAGAGTCAGTGGTTTAAAAAGCAGGAATTAACCTGGCAGCAGGAACCAGCAGTAACTCCGTTAGATGAGCACTTGGATAACTTTAGCACGGGAGTAATCACTGCTCTCATACTTAATGAATATGAATCTATGAATAATTATGTGTAGGCTTGCTGAATCTGGGTTTATATTCCTCCCCCTGTGTGCTGAGTATTATCTTTAGAAATCCTTGCCTAGATCCTAATGATGCACATACATCTGCATTGGGACAAGCATAACATTATATTCCATTTTGTTGCAGTCAATTACTCTTATTTTTTTAAAGAGTTTTGAAAGAATAAATTATTTGCTGAGGAGTAGAGCCCAACAACTCAGAATGAGTTAGGAGCTGGGAACTCCATTTCAGAAGCCAGAAAAGAGCAGAGGCAATTGGATACACTGGGGGCTCTAATTTATGCTTGTGTCATTCCAGAAGCTTAAGGGAAAGTAGGACCCAGTGAACTGAACTGTCATTAGTTTTAATGTTTTTAAAATACACTAATAAAATGCCAGATGATTATCACTATCCTGTCCCATTCCCGCAGTAGGCAGCCTTATACTCTGGGCAGTCAGAAATCCATGGATTGGATGCATATTTTTTCATATTTACCAGGGCTCTGTGCTGGTGTCATTCTGCTGATCTGAGTACAGAAATCATTGTGTCTCATCTCAGGGAGATTTCCAGCCCTGTAGAATGTTACTCCTTCTATACCAGCTCTCGCCTTGATCATCCCCTGCTCCTCCTTGTGGGGAGGCCAGAAAATTCCTTTAATTTATTTACTAAATGTCTATTGAAACCCCCATGCATGCAGAGCAGGGTCAGATTAGATTCCAAAGGATTCACCTAGCTCTGCTGTTTCTTCCATAGTGAGGAGACAACAAAAATACAGAAGTAGTTTACGTAGCCCATCTATTTCAAATGGAGAGAGGCAAGTATCCAGTTGGAATCACTCCAGGGAGGCTAGGATGTGTCAACAGAATCCTCATTGCTAATGTGCCATCTTTGTTCTTGCATATGATTCTTGTTATGATGAAACTCAGAAGGTCACTACAATCACTGATTGCCCACGATATATTATATCTGGGCATTGAGCATGTTGGAGTGTTCTGCTGCAGCCACTGCTATTGAAGCACAGACAAGACAAGGCCAAGAAAGTACCAACCATCGTTCTCTGTTTACATTAACAGCTTGTCTGACAACAGATTTAGAAGCTGAGGATCTGGCCTTATGGGGGCTAAGAACATGATACTGTTAACATTCATTGCCCCTGTATGTGCTGGGGAAGGTGCTAGCAAACCCATGCTGTTTAGTGATTCCCCTTAATGACTTAGTCCTTACTATAACCGAGTGCCAAGGAGAGCCTTTTCTTTACTACAGTAGGTTAGGTGTTGATATGGTGATTCTTAAATATAGAGAGAAGACTCTTAAAATAGAAGTAGAAAGCATTGCTATAGAATACTCTGTGCTCTGAAAAGTACAAGGTTAGTCTGAATAAGTATAGCATTACAACAGGATACAGTATCCATGACCAGTACATTACTATCAGCTGCAAACAGTGCAAAGTCCTTGAGCCCATGCAATTCTCAGATGCCATGTGTAGAATATGTTGGTGAAATATATGATGTACCCTTTCTAACACTGAAATCAGCCTACAGATTAGTGACACTGCCTTTACCTAACAACATTGGAGGTAATTTATCCATTAGACGGAACTGCACAATGGAAGAATTATGTCCTGATACCATGTTGCATAGATTCATAGATGTAGGGTCGGAAGGGACCTAAGTAGATCATCACGTCTGACCCCCTGCCCTGGGCAGGAGAGAATACTGGGCTCATATGACCCCAGCTAGGTCAAGCCTCCTCTTAAAGACCCCCAAGGTAGGAGCCAGCACGACTTCTCTTGGAAGTTGATTCCAGATCCTAGCCGCCCTGACTGTGAAGTAGTGTCTTCTAATGTCCAGCCTGAACCTACTCTGAAACAACTTATGGCCATTATTCCTTGTTACTCCGGGAGGTGCTCGGGTGAACAGGGTCTCTCCCATTCCCCACTGGTCCCCCCGGTAAGTTTGTAGATGGCCACCAGGTCCCCTCTCAGCCTTCTCTTGTGAAGGCTGAACAGGTTCAGGTCCCGTAGCCTCTCCTCATAGGGTCTGCCCTGCTGTCCCCGGATCATGTGAGTAGCCCTCCTCTGGACCCTCTCGATGCCGGCCACATCTCTCCTAAAGTGCGGTGCCCAAAATTCGATGCAGTACTCCAACTGTGGCCTGACCATTGTCACATAGAGGGGGAGGATCACCTCCTTGGCCCTGCTTGTGATGCATCTGTGGATGCATAACAAGGTGCAGTTGGCCTTCCTGACCGCATCCTCACATTGGCAGCCCATGTTCATTTTGGAATCGATAATGACTCCCAAGATCTCTTTCTGCCACTGTGCTTTCAAGAAGGGAGTTCCCCTGCCTATAGGTATGCTGCTGGTTCTTACTGCCCAAGTGCAGCACCCTGCACTTGCCAGTATTGAATCCCATCCTATTCTCATTTGCCCACCTTGTAACCTGTCCAGGTCCATCTGTATCCTGTGCCCCCCTTCTACCATGCCCACCTCACCCCAGATCTTGGTGTCGTTAGCGAATTTGAACAAGGTGCTTTTCACCCCCTCGTCCAAGTCACTAATAGAGAGATTAAACAGTGCAGGCCCAAGGACTGAGCCCTGGGGGACCCCACTGCCCACATCCCTCCAGGTCGAATATGACCTGTCCACCACCACTCTCTGGGTGCAGTCCCTCAGCCAATTTGCAAACCATCTGTCTGCGTAGGCATCAATGCCACAGTCGTCTAGCTTTTTAATGAGAATGGGATGGGAGACAGTGTCAAAGGCCTTCCTGTCCAGAAAGACTACATCCACCACGACACCTGCGTCCAATGATTTTGTGACCTGATCATACAGGACTATGACATTATATTGTGGCATCATGAATCAGAGCAATCTGAGGAGTATGATGTTGAACATTTAATAGTCTTATCAACCTGACTTTTCCTTACCCCTGCTTCCCCCAGATTCCTCCTACAGGAGTTATTGAGGTGATTTTTTTTTTCTTCTCCCTGCTTGGTTTACTGACCTAGAACTTGGGTGCTGGATTGGAAAAGGGGTCCTTCCAGGAATGGTAGATGCTGTGATTTCTATATCAGCACTTCATTTATTCAGTGCTCCTGAGATAGAAACTGTGTTTCCCCTGAGTTCCAGGAAGAGTGAATGCAATTCCAGTCAAATACCTATCCCATGAAACCAGTACATAGGGTCATAAGTAGAACTAGGATAATATTTTGCAGTGATTATATGATTTAGGAGCCTATGTTGTATTTTTGAGGATGACAAACTCTGAAGTCCTGTTGACTTTTAGTGAGACTTAAGGTGTAGACACAGCAGAATTACTACAGAGTAACTTACTCTATTTTTTACTCAGTAGAAAATTTACTCAGCAGTAAGTCAGGTTCCTGAGGGCATGGAATTCTTGTTTGTAATGTTGTCTTGCTTAAAGTTTTATAATTTTGTTGCAGGGATTGCACTGGGAAAAGTCTGCTATTACAAAAGCTTCGTCATTACCGTAAAGAAGCACCTCAGCCTCCTGCTAAGGCTTCAAAGCAAGTCAAAAGAGATGGAGTTAGGCAGAAGTTTGAGAGTCTAGAAGGAAAAAACACTCTGAAAATCAAGAGAAAGCAATGTCTAAAAGTGAGATGGGAAGCAGACAAGGTGATTTCCAGGGTGCCAGTGAGATCTGAACCAGAGAAAGGAAATCTTTTTCCAGGCCATGTGAACCATGGGGCTGACCATTCAAGAGAAATTCAGCAAGAGACAGAGGAAGCTTCACATTCAGAAAATGCTCCAGAGCCCCCTCTCAATAAAGTAACAAGGTATCATACAATGGAAAAAAAATAGTGGTGATTTTAATTGCTGTTTAGTTAAGCAGCCAGACATAAAGAACATTACTTATCCTCCCATTTTTTCCCCGGGACCCAAGGATGCCTCTGGCTCAGTTATTGAGAGAGGAAGTCTAGTCTGGCCATTACTTAATTAGTTCAAGACACAGTCTAACCCAGTGGATAGGGCTCTGGTCTCAGAACCTGCTGTGTGTCTTTGGGCAAGTTACTTCCCTGTAAAGTGAGGATAATGATATTAACCTTTACAGAATGCTGTGAGGGTTTTTTTGGGTTTCTTTTGCTCAAAGTGTAATAAAAGAGGTTGGTATTATTATTATTATTATTATTTTTATCTTTGCATGCCCAGAAGGACTTGAGGTAAATGAAATGGTTTGGCAGCCCAGAAAAACAGAAAGAAAAGTCATCAATAAAAACAAAACAAAAAAATAGGTTCCTTGCTCTAGACCTCGAAATTCAATGACTAGTACATTCTGCATGATTCCCACTTTGAGATGGGACTGCTATATGCTGTGGGGGCAAACCTTCACACAAGGGCCCCATTAAGTTTGGGGTTGCTAACTGTCCATGAATTTACAGACACTCTGTATAAAAACACCCTAAAAATGCCTGTCCATAAAAATCTATTAAAACATTTTGCCTTCTCTAAAATCATGGAGGCACTGGAGCATTAAGCTCCATGACAGGAAAAAAAGCTGGAGGCAGCACTGAAGGACAAATGGAGCACAGAAGCGCCAGCTGCTCTCTGAGAGTGAGTGCAGCACCCTGCTTATGTGCAACTCCTTTGAGTCAGGGCCTGATGCAGCTGTGGGGGCTAGGACCCAGTTCAACCACTCAGGAATAGCTCAGCCAAGGCCTGATGCAGCTGTGTGCTAGGCTGGATTGGGCCCTGGGCAGGCCATTCCTGTGTGGCTGGATCTTACTCCCATGGGACTTTCCCACACAACTGCATTGAGCCCCAACTGTCCTGTGCTCCATGGCTGGATCAGGCCCCAGCAGGGCCAGCAGTGTGCGCCAGCTCAGGCTCATGGACCAGATCTGGCCCACAGACAGACCTGACAATGCTCATCCAGTTCATAGGCTAACAGGGTCAAGCACCACTGGTCTAGGGCCTGCTTGTGCCTCATTTTCAGTGTTAAACTGCCACTGTTACCAACAAGGTGACTTTCAACCGAACAGGCTCCAAGCTTAAAAGGCCAAAGGTTGCATGCAGAGGAAGTTTGATTTATTTGATGATGATGACAACCATCATGGCCAGTAGGGAGAGATTGAAGTGATCTTTGTGAACTTCAGTTTTTGTAGTGGATATTGTAATTGCTGTGATAGCTTTCAGAGCTTGAGAGAGCCCCACCACAGAGTACAGCAGGATAAAGCACAATGAAAAATCTTGGCTCAAAGGAAGTCCAACACTGTGATGCAAAAGAAAGTGGGAGAGAGGAAAAAAAGGGGTTTTAGGATCCCTCAGGAAATTTTGATGTGGACAAAAAGGGGAAAACATCAGGAACAAGGATTTGCTAATAGCCACCATTTTACCAGCATGTTTCAACCTCCAGGCAGATTGCTGGTACTGTAGTTGGTTGGGGTCTGAGCCTGCTGCTGTTCCCTCACGCTCACATTGCGTTGACATCATTTGCTCAGCTTATTTTCATGTGGGTCCTCTTCAGACACCACTAAAGCTATTTAGACCAGTTGACATTGTTCTTCTTCTACATGGTTCATTTTGGGAACTAACAGGGAACCTCTCAGAAGGAGCCTGGTGCATATGGAAGATGGATGCATTACAAGCAAATAAACAGAACAAAGCTAGAAGTATCTGTATTTACCTATATTTTGCAGGGCAGAAGAAAGCCAGAGAGAGCTGTCCCAAAAAGAAAAGCAGATGAAAGAGAAACATAGGAGGCAGAAACTACAGGAGCAGTTGGAGAGATTGCAGCCTCAGCACTCAGTTACTGGAAAGCAGCCCATGGCAGAGAAAACACCTCTTTTGTTTCACATGGTTAGTAGCTCAGCACAGGAACATCTTTTTCAGAGCATCTTCCTTTCTTACCCTGCTGACTTCCTTTGGAAAATTCAGGGGTGAATCTAGCCATGGTCCTAGAAGCCAACAGTCCTCATTATACTGCTTTAAGGTTGTGTCATAGAATTGTAGAAAAGTAGGGGTAGAAGTGACTTCAGGAGGTTATCTACACCTATGCCAAGCCCTGCATTTCGGCATTGCTTCTAGTCTAGCTACAGCAGTATGGAATTTAGGATTAATGCCCAACTATTAATTCAGCTTCTCAAGCAGGTTTTACACCTTGCACTGAGTTTGGTACTACTTACTAGCTAGGTAGTCAACTAGTCCTCAGGCTAACTAGCTTTAAGCTAACTAGGATACTATAACAGGGACCCAGGGGCTCCTGTTATTGTAAGAGGGAGACTGTGGCAGAAAGGGCTCCAGGCAGCTGAACAGGGGTTAGCTGAGGAAGGGAAGGCAGCAAGGGTGCAACTGCAACCTAGACCCAATTAGCTGCTCATCAAGATGGGAGGACACACCTACAGAGGCAGAGGGGCATTGTAGCCTAGGACTCTTGCAGAGGAGAGCTTCTGCTAGCTCAGGCTGGCAAAGGGTGTGGGCCAGATCAGGTACCCCAGGGTTTGGAGGAGGCAACTGGTATGATGACCTGATGGAGCTTGGAGTGTTTTATTTAAGGCATTTGGCTTGCATTATTTGTTGCAGTTTAACCAGAGGACCAGGTAGTGGCTGGAGGGAAGGATAGGAGGCCATGCAGGGGTGCCTGGGAGGCACTCCAGATTCTGAGCCCTATCTGGGGCAAGCCAAAGGTGAGGGGGGCAGAGCCTGTGCCCCAAGGATGAGATGGGGACGGTCTTAAGCCAAGAGGCCCAGGGACTGTGCCCCAATGGGTAAGAGAGGGACAGGCTCAAACTGAGAGGGCCAAGGGCCAAAACAGAGCAAGATGAGCCAAGGGCTGAGAGCACCAAGGACCAGACCAGGCTGAGATTTGGAAGCTGGGCAGTTGCAGCACTGACTGTGATATAGCCCAGCCCTACATTCGTGATGCACTCTAGGTAGCACCAATGTTAGAACAGCCCAAACTGGACCCAGTCTCCAGGCAATTCTGCTTCTTTCTAATTCTTATTAATAAAAAAATCTATTATTACATTTAATAGGAGAAAGAAAATGTGTACAGCATCATCCATGAAATAACATGATCCTTTTAAGGGTTACTTAAAATTCACTCTGCCAGTCAGCAGCGTTGCTGGGCTTCAAATTAGAACAGGTTTTTCTTTTTTCTTTCTTTCTTATTTGCTGCACAGAAAGCAGCAGAAAAACTAGATTACTTTGACATCTGAAACTAAAAAAGCTATAATTTGGCAGCTGTGTCTTTCAGAGATTTAGAAATTAAAATCTCTAATACCTATATATTCAGAGAACAAACCAGAGCTTCTGACAATGTAGCACACTTTCAAATTTGTTATCTACATCCTTTGTTTTGGTAGTGATAGATGTTCAGATTTGGAACACAGAACTCTGACGACTCTATTATACATCAATAATTCAATTGAATAATAATTACACTGCATAAATTGGGATGCCCTGCAATGGTGAGTAGAGGTGCTTAGAAAGTAATATACATTTTTTTAAAGAATATGAAACAATTACATTAAGGTCTCTTTTAAGTTCCTGAAAGCAGTGAAATGTAGACCTTACATTGTGACTGTCTCTTGAGCTTAACCTAGTTCAATCAAATGCTGTTTTCAGTTTCTACTGTCAGTGGGATGGCACTAATGTAAAAAAGAATTAGGTTTGGGGATAAAATTATCAAAATCACTTAACTGATTTAAGGGAACAAGGGCCAGCTTTTTAGAGACATTGAAGCACTAAAGATGCAGATAATGCCTACCGGCATTTTCAGATTTATCTAGATGTCTTACTCCCATTGAAATCAATAGGATTTAAGCACTTATGGTGGAATTCTATTTCCCTTTGTGTGTCTAAATGGCAGCTTTTTACCCATGTAACTGCCGAAAATGCCATTGACATGCAGATAGTGATGCTATTAGCCTTGCGATGTGGACATGTAAATGGGCACGCAGGCATTTATACACATACATTTTTGTGCAGGGACACACTGGAGAGAGATCTGGTGTGTCAGAGCAGACTCAGTTAATTGCAAGTTGATGTGCATTGTGCTGTGTCATGTGCAGTTAGTGAAATGCACGTCAACACACAGAAAATGGTGGTGGTGTTCTTTTGAACTAAAGCACCTCTGTGTTTTAGTTCAAAAGCGTGCTGCCACCATTTTCTCAGCACTGATGTGCATTTTGCCACATATACAATAGCATGTGCTGCAGCACTGGGTGTTTTTCAAAGTGCCTGCCACTGCAGCATGTGCATGTGTATAAACGCGCTCATAGGCTAAGCACGCATATTAGGCTATGCATTAGCCATGCATGTGCGTGCACCAGTTGTTGACATGTACTTTGCCTCTAAGTGTCAAAAAAGTAGATAACCAAAAAACCATGATCTGGGTAGGGAGGAAGAGGATCAAGGGAAGCCTTGCGTGTTTTGTCCCAATAGCTGGGTGGTTGAGGTACTTGCCTAGGGATGCAGAAACCCAGGTTCTAGGCTGCTTTCATCTGGAGGAAGGTTGATTATGTATCTCTGATTTCCCAGCACAGCATACCACAGATCAGGCATTATCCAGATAACCCTTTTCAACACTGCTTTCAAAGGGACCACCCTGGGCAGCCAAGGTGTGGGGGGCCAGGAGGCAGAGAACAAACCAGAAAGTGTGTCACTCAGTGAAATAGCTGCTTCTCTGAAAGGGAAGGCATCCTGGGGTCTAGCCTGGAGACTCACTTCCCAAAGGGACAGAAACTTCCACATTCTACTGGTTCCATCCATTTCTCCCAGTGGCTGTTAAATACAAGGGGCAATGGGTCAGCTTCAGAAGGAGTGCCCGGAAGGAATTCAGTAGTGCTTTATGGGTGGCACAGCTGTCCGAGCACTGTGCTACAAAGTCTGAGAGATGCAGATTCAGACTCCCCTGGGCAAGTGGGACCTAGAATCCAAGTTGATTATTTTTTAAAATATGGTCCTAGGTCATTGAGGCACTTTTGAAAATTTTACACTTGTTCCCTCTGGCCATATCCAGATCTGGTAAAAGCAAGTACAGCTCCCTTGAAAGGCTAACTGGTAGTGCAAACAGTACTGTAAGGTGAGCTATAAGTGGTAATCATGTGACCTGCACAGCCTTGTTTTATGTAGGGGAGTAAAACATATGTAACTTGCATGTTGAGGTGAAGAAGAGCTTTAGGTAACAAGTAAAGCAGCTCAAAGGAAGATGTCAGATAAGGAGGGGGATCTGTCTTCATTTATCTTCCACAGTCTAGTGTCAAATGAGCACATCTTACTGCTCCAGCATTTATACCAATTTCTGATTCACTTCCTCTTAGAGTATGATACTGCTTCTCTTGCAGTTTGGTAGCACAGCTTGCTTTGACTTCAATGAGAGCATGATCTGACACACGATAGACAAACATGCTGATGGGAACCTACCACAAAAATAGATTAGCACAGTCTATCTGAATCAGACATATGGTAGTGCCCATTCTGCGCAGTTCCCCTCAGTGCCGATTCCTTTTCAAGTCCGACAAAGCCACTACATTGCATACATTTTGGCTTTCTCTTCACTCCCACAGCTGAACTGTGCATTTCTTTCCCATTTCTAATGATTCCTATTTCTTCACCAGTCTTAAATATTTGGTAAATATCACCAAACCGAGCCCCAAACAAACAGTTCACCCAGAATCCCTCTATTACCCCCTCTCTGTCAGGGCATGTCCCCCTCCAGGGGTGCCAGCCTCGCCACATATGATTAGTGTGTCCCCACTCTCCATGAGGTGAAGCCAGACCAGATTGTCCTGTGCCTCATCTGCATATAAATTTTGGATGATCCCAGGACTTGTGACAAGAACACCCAATTGCAGTTATGAGAGGGGAGCTAATTAGTACTTGGATCCTTTGTTGTGGGGAGGGTAGCTGTAGTACACACATACCTGAGTAGTGCTGAGCTGTGGAGTCACCACGGCCTGAAGTTTTGCTGACCCTGGTGGAGTGCAGCCTAATGAAATATAATCATGAGCCTTTTGGCTTTGGAGTAATAACATGCATACTTTGTGTACTATATTTTAGCTCAGATCAAGTATAGTTCCTGTTTGGCATCTTGTAGGCTAAGATCAAGTGGGGGCATCCGAATCCCAAGACCTATGGGTTTGGACCTATATGTAGGATGCCTGTCAGTGGATTTAATTGCATCTAAAGTCCCAAGGTGAGAGCTTGGGACAGAGGATGCTCATTGGTTGTAGTGCTATACATGATGTTTGAATGATTGAGTTCTGCCTGCTCAATCAGTATGGTTTTTGGAACTGAGTTCTGCTCAGTCGATATGATTTGCAACTAATTTGGCTGATTTGATCTGGAACACAAAATACATTAATTAAAAAATAAGTTTGTACTATATATAACTACTTGTCAAAGTGTTTTTTAAAAGTGAGTTTACAGAGTACCTGTGCTAAAACTTTCAGCAGTTTAAAAAAAAAAATAACATGCATTGATTCTGGATGAACTGAAGTCTATGGGTACTATGTGCAAGTTACTACAGCTATGTTTAATTTCAAGGTCATTGCTTTCTAATTTGCTTCTTACTTCTGTGTGTTCAGGACGAGTTGGGTCTGACAGTAAGGAGAAGGGGAATGGGCTGCCTGACCTCCCCAGATTTATTTTCCTTGTTGTAACAGTGGGAGGGGGACAAATTCAAACTTCTAAAAAGTACATTCTATACCTGGAAAATTATAACATATTTATACATTTTCTATATATAAAATGTAATTAGTAGGGATCATCTTATATTTGAATAAATACAGTAAAGGGTATGTGAATGATATTACCCTATTCTTTTAATCTCTCCTCTATTGCTGGGTGAAAGATGC